GTTTTTTTTGAAGTAAAATTTGACTCCTTCGAAGTAAAAATTCACTCTAAAAAGAGTGAAAATTATCACTCTTTTTCAAGAAGTAAAATATTTTCTCTTTTTTTTCAAGGGTGATTTTCACTTTCTTGGAGTGAGATTTCACTGCAAGAAATTTAGAGTGATTAGGTTAAATTTGACAGATTTAACAGTGTTCAACAGAAAAAAACAGTTTTGCAACTATTAGACTTTTTAATATAATTAGTTTATTTAGATTCAATAAAGAAAACTAAGGGCAAGAGCAATCATATTAAAGAATTTGACAATATTTACAAAATTACTTTTTCTGCTGAATACAGCCAATGTTTGCCTCCGTCAAACAAATGCCTTCCATGGCGATGCGAAACCGTCAGCCAAACGTCGTCGCAGGCACGTGAAGGCACACGTGGAATTAATACTCGGAAATGACGAATTAATGTTTAAGCGAGTCGCTGCTTGTACTATACAAGCTTTATCGCTAAAGTTCGTCGCAAGTCTAGCTGAAACTTTTACGAGGCACGCGCGCAAAATTGCAGAAGGGTTGCGAGGTCCTTCTATAAGGAAAATAAAAAAAAAAGAAGCGGACAGGGAGGGAGATAGCGAAAGAAAAAATAATCGGCCGAGGGAAGACAAGGGCCGGCAACGACATGCACCTGTGTGTGAACCCGCACATGTCCGATGCAACTGCACTACCCCTATCTTCCCTCGCACAAAGCTCCATTCATAATTCAGCGGGGCGAATTAGACGAGCGAGGGACACGAGTTCTCTCGCGTGTCTCTGTTGCGAAGGGCACAGGTAGCGAGAGAACAAATTAAGCAACGACGAGCATACTCCGCTTCGACAGAATGAACTGAGCAAGAGACATGTTAGCCCCCCCGAGAGAACACTTTCACTTTCTGCGTCATTTCGTATGTCGCCCAACTGTTCCTCCACTTTTTTTTACTGCTCGCGGGCGGTCGCCAGGCTCTCGCTGTAATTGGTGTACTATAACTGCATAAATAATGAACTCACGATGATAGAAGCATAAATAACCGACAGTCGTCGATGCATGCGCTGCAGAACGATTGAGGGCTGAAGAATGAAATGAATTTTGTTCCGAGCGAGATATTTTATCGAATGACATGCCGTTGTATCGTCACGGTGCGTGTCTTTTACATCGAATCAACGCGACTTATTTGACTGGTAACTCTTATAGTATATTATAGTAAACTTAGAAATTTCTTTTAAGTATAAAAATGCGAGTCTTACAAATCAGTCTTTTTTTTTCAAACATAAGACAGTTATACAATATTGATCGATTATTTTATAAACGGAGTTTGTATTTTTAATAGAAAGTCAAGAAGTGATATTTGGAATTTAAGAGAAAAATATACTGCAGTTAGAAAAATAAAACGTCAAAGAAAAAATACATAGTTCTATGATCGTGTTTTTTTTCAAAGTCTTTTTGTTTAATTTCATTTCAATGCCGATTTTATATAACTTTCATTTATCAATATATGATCATTCTTCAGCAATGAATACAGCGGCAAGATCAAACGTCACGCTATAAAAATTCTTACAAAAAGATTATGTAATACGCAGAAAGATTTTGCTAAAATATCTAAAAATTTAGCTGTGATATATATAGATACAGATTTGAAAATAATTTTCTTGGACCGTTAAAATAATTATGTAGAATGTTCAAACATAAATTAAAAACAATTCTTTAACGCTCGTATAACTTTCAAACAAATTAATAAATAGTGACCCAGGTCAACAATTAAAACGAGCTATAATTAGGTGTGACAATGTAAAAATTTATTTATTTATTTTTTTACAATATAATTTTCCAACGATACGTTTCGACTGTACTTAGTCCTCATCAGTCGCAGAAATATAATTACCCCGTATAACAAAAATTAAATGAATATATGTAGAGGATCATCTCACAACTTCGATTTTCAATAGTCAGTATAAATGCAACCATATTATATTTAGTCAATTTGTCGAACAATAAAACATAATAATGAGGCATAATCCAATCAATTCGTCGGTTAACAGCAAGAAAGGGTAGTTAGTGTGAGTTAAAGAAAGTTTCTGGTAAAATTACAAATATAGATTGAAGTCAAATTATATAAAATGATTATACGTGCGTCCTTAATATTGGTAGAAAATTAAATGGAATAATAAATAATATGATCAAATTAAAGATATAGAATCGTTGCAGATTGAAACTTAAACAAATCTTAACAATTAAAATTATATAGATAAAAATAATTAATTATGTAGAATGCTTAATGATGAGGAATGTTGCAACAAATTTTAACATTTTAGCAACCAGTTTGAGTGTCCTATATAATTATTTTAATGCCCAATAAAATTATTATTAGATCTATAACTAATTAAATTTTTAGATACAACAAATCATCCTTTCTATTCCATTTCTCAAATAAACAAAATACTATTTCGCAAGATAATTACACTAGAGATTTTTATTATCTCGATGTTTAAACGCAATTTATGTTGAATCATTAATAATTTTGTACATGTTTAATACGAATAGTTATCTAATTAACAGTTAACACATATGAAAAGAATAAGAAGACGTCGTTTTTGTGGGCAGAGGAATAATAAAAGTGATTCTAATTCGAGACCGTTTGAGCAGATTCCATAAAATTCAAATCTTATAGACACGCGAAACACACACACACGCCTCACGGTTCGGTTTTTTCTCTTGCCAAATAACTTGCGCAATAGCACTGCGATGTCGCGTAAATTCCACGCCAAGGTGATGATCGGTACGGCGAAGTTTCTAACGAAGGCTCTAACAAAAGGTAACGCTTTAACGACGAATTCTCGGTGAGCATAACTGTACTCCCGATAGAATAACTCAACAATGCAACGGTCATGAATTTTCTCACTACGCCGCTGTGGTTCTCTCTCGCTGTATTCCTTCTCATTCGAGCAGAGCTTCAAAGAACTCTTGCCCACGGTCACATTTACATTAACGCAACAGAATATCCTCACTGTCTCTATTTTTTAAAAATAATATATCTTTTCAGAAATTCACGTCTTTACACCTCTGTGTCTTCGCACAGCCTTTGAATAATTTAAGAGCGGCAAAATTTTTTTGTTTCGACGTTTTGTTTCAATGAGAGATGAGAGACGCATAACTCGCAAAACAGTTTAGGAAACGCGAAATAGAAGATAATACGATAACGAATATCTGTTTTACGGTGGCAAATTCAACATAAGAATGAAATATTAGATCCAGCCTCTGAAAAATTCTTTTATTGCATGTTTTTTTTCAACATCGTATTCATGACGTAGCGATATTAATCTAATTTTTTTTCGACACGTTCCGAGTCTCTTTGAAAATCTCGGAGTAACGTGAAAGTGCAAAGGAAGGCTTTCGAGACGACCGCATGGACCGCTCCGAACTTTGATACATTAATAAATAGCTTCTCCGCCTATCAGCGGACTTCTTTTACTCTTCCTTGAGCACGTTTAACATGCACGGATTACCTCCCCTGTCCTTCCCGTTTCTTTGCCTTTTCTCCTCTGCGGGCCTAATGTCAATAACCGTTGCATTAGTTGACGCTTCGTTACTTTCTTTGCGGCGGGCGAGCGAACGGGCGATTAAAAATGGTCGGGGTGTCATCCGCGATGGTACACGGTCGCCGCGACGCCGACGCCGACGCCGACGTCGAATCGCGTCGGTGTTGGTGGCCAGCGTCCGTCGCACCTGTTTCACGTGGCGTCGTCGTAGCATCACGCTCGGTGATTTGCTCGCCGGAGCAAAAGATGTTCCCAGTGGCTGCACCGTCGCCTGCATCCTCTTTGTACACTTTGTTCACACCGTGAAGGCAAGTCGTAAGGCATCACCCCGTCCCGGGCACGGACGGGGAGACCCGGTAAATCCACGTACATCCACGTACAGCGTCGTCGCTCTCTCTTTCTGCACGTTAGAGCGTCGCCGAAGCGGAGACTGACGTACACGTGGATGAAAAAAGATCTATACGAAAATCGTTCCGAAAACCGTATTATCTCTCGGTTCTATATATTCTTTGATCAGTCTGAGATCGATTTTCCTGTCCTCTTTGAAAGTCAAGAAATTGAATGAGAAGAAAGATTTTTTTAATTTGTTTTAAATCCGTTAAAAGATCCGTTCGTCATCGAGAACGTGGGATAGTTCGGAGAACATCAGACGGCGTTTTCCATAGCTTCTTTTTACGATGCACTGTTTTATCTCTTGCCGCGAGACGACTTCTCGAAAGAGAAGTGGTAGAATGGTGCAAGGATGAGAGAAACGCGGCAGTTGCAACATCCGCGGTCGGGCCCCACGTGCAGCTGATGATGCAACGCCCGTGCATTTTGTAACTCTGTGGCCAGAAGGCCTTCTTACCCAGCATACTGGACTAGATAAAGTAGGATCGAGAGCGTTGCACTGTCTGATAGAGCGTTGAGTAATACGTATATCGTTCTATTAAATGGCTTCTCGGTCAAATATCGCGCGTATCTTAAGTTGTAAAATTTAATTTTCCGAAATATTCGTAGCAAGGAAATTTATCATTCGCATTTACGCTGTATATTTTGACGATGAATCAAAATACACATAGTATGAACGTGAGATTTAATAAACTTGCAAGGTTTTATTCAATTCGAGCCCGTTCATCCATGAGTTCACTGTCAATAGACTTAGCTGCGTTGTTATCTTTTACTTGCGAAGATTTAGCGATCTAATATTACTGTCCGTCAACGTGATTAATGTTTCACGAATAATTTATTACTTTCTAAAATTTTTAGAGTGAATCCCATTCTTAAAAACTGAAAATCAAGCTTCTCTTTTTTAAGACTTGTTCAATTTCCACACTTTAGTGAGATTCTACTCCAAAGAATTTAGAGAATAGATCATCGCACGTGTTGGATGAAATATTTTTGTGCAATTAAGCTGCGTAAAAGTCTCATTTCCTCAACGCGTCAGTCAAATTGAATCTTCACCGAATTAAAGACTCAATCGCACCGTACGCGTAAGTACAGACGATGTCTCGTGACTTAAAAACAATGTATGGCACTCACCGCCGTCGACAGTAGAGACAGTGCTGGCCTTGTTGATCTTCGTGTTCCACATAGCGAGCGCGGGAGGCGCGGCGGGACTCTGATCGGGAGTCGGCGGATGAGCCGCCGGCATCGGCACCATCGTCGGACCCAGCTGTGCTCCAGGCAGATGGTCCGAGTTCGATCTGAACAAGCCCACGTCAAACCCCCGTCCGGGATAAGCCTCGTCATCCCGCTTGGACAATCTCTCCGCCAATTTCTCCGCCCTCTCTCGATCGGTCTCCTGTTTTATTCGAAGGTCTGGCTCCTGTTTTATTCGAAGGTCTGGCTCCTGTTTTATTCGAAGGTCTACGAACACGAGATTAAGAGCTTAGTTGCAACACAGATCAGTGGGATCTTTAGGTTGATTTTACATCGGTTTTATCATAATAGGTTTATCTCACCTTCGGCAACGCTTTCCTTGAGATCACAATTGTTGCGTTCCTCGGATCGCACTCGTTCCAGCTGCTGTTCCAGTTCCGTGGGCGTATGTGGCGCGGTGTGGGAATGCGAATGAGTTTCAGAAGGATGGGTGAACGATTGATAGAAGTGGTTTTTCAACAATGGATGCGGGGCGGACGCCGGCCGGAAAGCAGGGCCGTCGCGCAACACACTCGCTCTTCCTAATGTATCGACGTCGCTCGGCGATCTAAAAATACGCGGTCGCAGCTCGTATAATCTTACGCGAGTGAATTGGCAAGGACACGTAACACGGTGCAAATATTTGGTAAACACGCGTAATACGATGAAGAGGAAGCACGGAGAAAATCAAATCCGGAAATTGATGTAACGCCAAGTGGGGCAAATGAAGGAATACCCAAAACGTTCTTTATATCGTACGATAAAGCTCTTTGGAAGATTTTATGGTCTTGATTAGCGCAACATAATTGGCGAAAAACTACTTTAATCGTAAAAATAATATTCCGACAAGCTGAGATAGAAATTCGAAGAAACCGTAAAAGAGTCGCTTTGCCATAACGATCATTTCCTTATCGAAAATATGATAATTTAGATATTACTTTGTCGTTCGCAGATTGTCACATACGTCATCGTCATTAGAACGAAGGAAGGCCGCTCGTGGCCAGTTCCTTGTAAAAGAGTTTCACACCTCGGCGAAAGGTCCTTACCTCATCGCCCTCTTCGGCGGGCTCTCGCAATAAGGAGAGGTGGAGTACATATTGGGCATGATGTATTCCGGGGCGGGCGACGGCGCCGGTGTGGGGGTCCTCTTCATGATGTTCCTGACCGCCTCGCTCATGTCGCTCACATCACCAACGCCGCTACCACCACCCCCGTTGCCGATGGTACCACCGATGCTACCACTGCCGACGCTACCGCTGCCGACGCTACTCCCGACGCTACCGTTACCACCGCCTCCGTTACCCCCGCCTCCACGGAGAGCAGTAACATCGCCAGTGCTCTCTGCGTCCGCGGAGGTGTTGCTTTCCGCAGCGTGCCTCTGCGCCACCGCCAGCTTCTCGTGCTCGATGATCGATAGACCTTTAACCTGGAAAAGAAAACAATTAGGAATAAATGAATATATTTCAGGAAAATATCACACAGAAGGGAATAATATAAGAAATATTGTATAACGATACAAAAATATTATGCTATACTAAAAGAATTATTATGATAGTAAAATATATATATAATTTAAGGGGAATGCAAAAATATATTTATTGCATTTAGAAAGTTTGTTGTAAATATTGGATTATGTTAATGAATATTCCGCGTCACTGATGTCTCGACATGCATGATGGAAAAAACATTTTGTATTTGTGTTGGAAACGGTCCACTCACATTCTTGTTAACAGCTTATGTTGAATTTTTTGACATATTCGAGTACTAATTTAACATAATGTGATTATATTATTTAAATATTCTTATGTTAAATAAATGATATAAATTGATATTCAGCGTTTCTTAGTGTCAAAAGGACACAATTTATAAGCAATTAAACAAGTAATACAAAAATGTATTTTAAAATGTATAAATTCTAAGATATGTGTTTAATTAACATATCATAAATATTAATTATATCTATTAAAAAAATATATTTCCACAGTTTGTTTACAAACTGTGTCAACATCATCTTTTTTTTCTGATCATTTCTTGCACACAATATCTTTTGTTGTTTCCTAACATGTTCATCTTATAAATGAACGCAAAAATTTAAGTGAGACATGTGAAATGTGTTATATTCGTCACAAATTTTCCAACAGTGTATCAATTAAATAAAATCACATATTTTTGCAGTAAATACTTGAAAATATCAAATAAAAGCATACGATACAAAGTTCAGTCAACAACGCATTTCCGAGGTGAGTTTGACAAATGACTTGACTCTTCTACAATACAAATGACACAGACTTTAGCCAGTGCGCATTTTAAAGCCGCGTCGGACGCCGCGCCACATGTACAATTATTCGGGGGACATTATTTAGGGTCATTATTTACGGAAAAAGAGACAGGCACATACTTGAAGGCATTCAGCTGCCTTGAGGAAGGAGCTGAGGGATTCCTGGGACACATGTACCTCTCCACGGTACATGAATTCGAGGAGGGACGCCATATTGTGGGCACTCGTCCCATCGAGAATAACGATCAATCCCGCGGGAGAAGGCGGCATTCCTTCGAAAAGCTCCTGAAAATGCTTGCTGCATGCTGCGAGGATTAACCTGTGCGCCTTGAACGTAACTCCTGAAACACAAATAGGATGTATTGATTTCAAAAGATGAACGATGTAAGAAAGTACATACTGTCGCCAAACATACTGTTATCAAAAGAAAACATTTGACGACCATCGCTAATCCATTTTTACATAATTGAGTAAATTAAATATATATATATAAAATAATAGGATATTAAAGAGCCAACCGTACAACTTGTCGCGTAAAACAATTCTTCAATTTATATATTCTATCAATAATCATATTGAATTGGTACACTGAAAAAAAATATAGTCAATTTTAATAAATATTTAGTTGAATACTGCCAACTAAATATTTATTCAATATACAGATATATTTATTTGATACAAGAAATGTTAATTCTATATTCCATAATTATGCCAATAATCAAACTCGATTGGCGAAATTAGCAAAATTTTTGATGCACGCACAAGACGCTCTCGCGGGCCTTTTCTTTCTCACGGCTTACAATGTAAACGGGCACCAACGCGCGCAGCAGACGAGCGCGGGAATTTCAGCATGCAAAGAAAGCCGGTGACCGACGAACCCTTTTTTTTCAAGCGGCCCACCATTTCCCTCTCTACAACGTGACATAAAGGAACCGAGGCTAGCACGCCTGACGTCGATGCCCTTTCTCGCAGCCCGCTGCGTATGTAGGTCATCTTCGGACACGATCTTCCGTAATTCGTAATTCACGCAAGTATAATACGCGTTCGCCAGCGCGCGGGCGTGTAATATGACACGAGCGACCGCTGCACGTAAAGCGAGGAACGGTGTCCAGGAACGGTTGCGTGTAAAAAGAAAAAAAGAAATCGTCATCGTAACCGACCGTCGAAGCCTCTGCGATGTAGCTAAACATCCCGCCAATTTTTATTTTTAAAAAAACCCTCAAATTTTTGCTATCATGTTTACGAAGCTTAATTTAAAGCACTTTTTTTTATTGATTTGTTGAAAGTTCTTAAGACTAATTTAATTAACAGAAATTAGCTACAAAAATGTATGTATTTTCGTTATTGGTATCCCCCCCCCCCCCTGTTAAACCTATAGTGTCAAATTTAGTTTAATGTGAGTCGCCACTGCTCTCTCCTACTCAATCATATCGTTATTTTATACTAAAACAATGGTTATATTTGACACTATACAGTGTCAAATTTAATTATCGTTTTAGTAAAAAATAACGATATGTTTAGTAGGAGCCACTCACACTAGGTTAAATTTGACACTATAGATTTAACAGTGTATAGATATCGCGTTACTTCATTATTTTGTGATGATTCCGTGCGAATTAGGTGAATGGAACGTTTCATAAAAGAGCTTCGTGCGTTTAGACGGATGTGGGAAGAAGTCTCATCGGCAATGCCTTCAGAATAAGGAAATTAAGTGCGAGAAGAGAAAGGAGGAAGGTGACGAGGGCACAACCAGGTGGCTCAAAGCACCTGTCTTTCCGAGTGGCTCCCGGTACACAAAGTGTATCCAACTCTTTGAGCTTCCTCTCAGCGCGATATCATATTTCCTTGTACTCCCCGTTGCGCTCAATTTCAAACCTCTTATCCGACGAATATTGGATTTGCTGTGTACCCGGGGGAGAGGATTCAACGACTCTGTGATACCGCGTTCACCCGCGGTGCTTGTTGAAATACGTTTGCATTATGAACTTGTCTCGCGTATAATAATGACAGTGTCTCTTTATCTAACAAATATCAAATATACCTTCGATATCGAATTTCAATCGAGAACAATTTTCTTGCACTATCGCGGTATTTTAATCGCTATATATTAATTAATCTCCCTGCTTTTATAATCTGTCCAATATAAGATAGACGTGTTACAGATGTTCGGGCTAAATATACAGCTCATTATGCGCGATGCAAGGGCTATTTTGCGATCATCTTCCTTCGCTTATGACGACTTTCATAAGCGGAGTTTGGACACACAAATGCAGTATCAAGGTGTACAATGAGAACAATGAGAACAAGAATGTCAAATATAAAGAGATTCTCACATAATTTGCTGTTTGATTAAAAAAGAACAAATTTTGTTTCATAAAATATAATCATAGACTATGCATTCCTTGACCTAGCAATCTATGCTTCGTTAGAAAGTATCGAATTATATCGACATCTCTCTTTAATCTCAATACTCTTCGAAATTCTCGATATTTCACACTGAAAAAAATACTAAATTTTAATAAGTATTTGTTCGAATAATTCTAAGTAGATATTTATTAAATGTAAACATATTTGATACGAAAATCATGACTAACTTATAACTACAATTTTTTTATTGAATAAATATTTATATATAAATAAATGTTTGCTTAGTATATTCAAAGAGATATGTATTAAAATTTAGTAATTTTTTTTTCAGTGTAGAGAAAGGGAGCGATTTAAACTACCTCACTCTTTCTAAAAACGATAGTTTTAGACAATTCCATAAGAGTATTTTTGGCTGCGTTCCGTTTCACGCATGATGCGCATGCTGCATTAATTATCCTTGTTATTCACCGAATGTTAAACAAGGATAAATGATGCATCATGCGTGAAACGCAGCCCTTATTTCATCTATGGAAATAATCGGCAGTCGCTACGAAGGCAGTCGGAGATGGAGCACTCCTCGTCTGCGAACTGCGTTCGGAGACGCCATGGGACAGCCAGGCGGCAGCGCGGTTCGTCGGCACACTTGTGGAGATAATGAAATATGCAGAGTTAATCGGCGTATAGTCCCGAGACTACTAATAAATTCTATAATACGCCGCGCAGCAGCGGGTCCGCGGGATACTTCTCACGCACATACATTGTTATTCCCGTTATCGAGCCGCATGCAGAAATATACGCGCAATATATTGCAAAGAATTTCGGCAGAACATTGCGTAACGTGCGCGTGCGAAGCCTCGAGGACGTATTTGTGACACGCCGCAACATCGTCATCGACTCATCGAGCGAGCGGAGCTATTACTGAATGAGCGAGTAGAGATAACGCACGAACACTCTCAGCGCGGCTCCGCGCGCGTATCTATTTAGATATTGTTCGCAGTTACGCTTGGGAAGCGAACAGCAACGCCGTCACAGCGAAGGTTGTCGATTATGAATAAATGATAATGACTTGACGTCGCAACGTGCGAAAAAAGGTTTAGAATTTTTTCATTGAGAAAAAAAATTACTAAATTTTAATAAATATTTGTTTGAATAACTAGATTTAACTATAAATATACATATATTTTGTACGAGAACCATTAATTTGATTTATCTAGCATTTTTTTATTTACTAAATATTTATTTACCGTAAATAAATGTCGAGTTAGTATTATTTAAATACAATAAATTTTTATTAAAATTTAGCGCATTTTTTCTTAGTGTATGTACATAAGACATTTCTTCAAAACGACAATAGAAATTGTCTAATTACTAAATTTATCCGTAGTCTATTATTAGAACTTGCTAAAAGTTGGCGTGCAGTTCGGAAAACTCTGTTCTTGAATGTCTTTAATAATTCATATAAAAATTTTATTAGATATCAAGATTCAGCCTTGACCGTATTTGGCGCTTCTGTTCATTTGTATTAAACTGTGCGTTATCTAAAGCCACTACTGTTTTATTACCATCCGTACTATTTATGTACTGCTGGCATACGTTAGTTGAGAAATACGTTGCAAAATATTATATATAGCCATTTCGATGAGATTACGTGAGGGTCTAGTAACAAGGAGTGAGAAGCGCGGCGTGACTACCATCACAAAACTTGCAAATAAAACGCGCTTAGTTACGCAACAGTGCAATGCACTCTTCGCGGGCAATCTATTCATATTCCAAGGCCAGCCGGTAGAGCTCTTTGGGAGTTAGGGTTTTCGACGAAGCCTCTTACGACGGTCATCGTTCCCCTATCACGCAATAATAATTCGAAGCCTCGTGTACGTGCACCGTGGCCGAATGCGTACAATATACACCGTGGATGAAGGCGGCAATTACGGCTTAATTCAATGTCAATGAGCGACGATGTCAGCGACCGATACGTCGTCAAAGTTACCGCAATATTTATCAAAGGATAACTTCAGAAAAGTGAATTTGATACCGTAGGAGAGGATTCCCCCCAATCTTGGGTCAAACTTTGATAACAAATAATAAATGTCACCAAAGAGAGATCTCTAATCTTGAATAAAAAAAATATGGATCCTCTCGGCGTGATTTTTTTGTATCACTCTAAAAAATTCGAGACTATATTTCACGCAACAATAAGTCCTCGACAAGTCCTCTCGATTAAAAACAATTAGATTGGAATTAATTAAATAAAGGCAGAATAAAATATTATCTCGCTACCAAGAACTTGCGTCGTGGTACATGTCCTTTATTTGATTAATTTGAATGATTAACCACTTGAACTTTTATTGCAATTGGATTGGAAAATAACTAGAGACACCGATTGCCCGCGATATGTCACGGAGTATCCAAATTTCACAAGTAGATAAGAACGGTTGCCGATTTGATTAGAGCAGAGACAAACTCTAATATGGAGGAGGCGGCCAAGGGAAGGGAACAGCAGTCAATGCCCCGTCAAGGTCGACAATGCAGAGTGTGCTAGCAAGCAAATATGTGTTTGCCATATCGTATCGACTCGGCTTCACTCGTTTTAACTTCGCCCGTACGAAAAGTTGACAGGCCAATAGTGATTCGAGCTTCCTAGGGCCCGGCCAATGGCCGCGTGGGACCAAGGCCATCTTCTTCACACATACCCAAAGTTCGATGCACAGCACGGCGAAAAGCGGTGCCGGGAGAAGAAAAAAGATATGGTGGACTATGAGGGATCCGCGAGGGAGAGAGAAGACAGCACCACACAAGCAACGCGATACGGACAAGAAACGACACGTGGAGAAGCGACCGTGAATCTCGAGGTTGCCCTCGCGATAAATCGGCGAGTATTACGCGTGTTTTATCTGTGTGTATGATGGTATGCGACACATATGCACGCCGAGCGTAGGAAGAGCATTGTGACGTGGAAAATAGATGCGCGCCTCTT